GCTACTTCACCCCTTCCAAAGTTCACCCATTTTAGACAAGCACCAAAACATGTTTAATGAAAACATATTTTTCTGTTCTGTGAAAAGGGAACCGAAAACAGCTGAACAAAATAAAAGCATTGTGACTGGCAAACACTTCATCAGTGTAAACTCTTTTTCTTTCTGTATCTGGATAACGTTAAACTGCCTGTTTCTCTTTCACTACCAAAACAAAACAAAACAACAGCCTGTTTTTTTATTTAGCACCCTCAGTGGCATTTTCTTCCTCTAAACTCCAGCTGCTTTAACATCAGGCATCTATCCTTAGTGGTGGCCTTTACAGACAATGGAAAAAAACAGCAAGTCCCAAGGATGTCCTGTCCTATCCTATTCCTAAGGGAAACATTTAAGACCATCAGGAAGAAGCAACCTTTGGAGGTGAACACGTCTCCACTTACTACAGAGGAAACCAAGTAAATTAACCTTTGAAGAACTACAGTGAGGGAAAACATGGGAGTTTCACATCTGACTCCTGGCTGAACTGACCTCTGGTTTGGATGAATCAGAAGTTACACTCCCAGCAGCTTCTTCTAGTTTCATGGTAGGTGATTGTTTCAGTCATATCTAATTGGCTCTGGCTGTGGTTTTGACTTGCAGGTGGGATCAGTTTATTTTCCTAAACAACATCATCTAGTGCCACCTGGGATACCATAGGGTATCTCAGGTAGCTGTTATGGGGCTAGCAGGCATGATACAGGACCTGCAGAAGACCTGGGCTCTTCTGGACTGTCAGTCAGAGGCCATGCCAACTAAAGATCTCAAATGGCCTCAGACATTTGTCTGTAGCCAGTTGAGCTCATACGCTTTCAAGCCAATATACTTGGAGCATGATCCTTGGCAAAGGGGGGATGCAGAGGAAGTCTTTTCAACTTACAGAGAAGTAGATGCTGCCATTTGGGAAGACACCTCCTATCACAATGTCAGATCCAGGCAACTCTCCATGGGGGCTGAATCCAAATGCCACCCAGCCAGTTGTACGGACCTGCAGCTAAAACGTCATCAGCTCCCGTTCGTCATGGTCCCAGCGGAGGTAGACCATGTTTGAAGGATCCAGAAAGTTGGAGAAACGCAGCAGTGGAGGTGCAGGCTGAGCAGAACAAAAGCATGGGAGGAACAAGAGGAAGAGCATACCCTTGATTCTTGAGAAGAGAGCTGCCATCATCAACAGGACCACTGCAGTTTCTAAGTCTTGCTGGTACCTTGGGCAGCTGTTCTGCTATGAGGGGCCCAGTTTATATGGAAGGGCATGAGGCTGGGCCTATTGCCAGACAGGAGGAGTGGAAACTGACTGTTCTATATCTAATTTAACATGTAGGAAAGATCAACACTTTACATTATACATCTGGCACCCTGCCTTAGTGAAACCATACTAGGCCATCCCATGTACATCTTAAAACGTTTTTAAGAGCCATTTCGTACTACACAACCAAAAAAGCAACAAAGTGTTTACCTCCTACCCAGTACTCCTCAGGGTGAGTGAATGCTGGCTCTCCTCACCAAGGCAAAGGGGCTCTCTGACTGACTTGCCTTTCTGTTGCAAATGCTGAAATGAACCCTGACTATGCCACCTATTGGCTGGTGTGATGATTATTGGCAAGTTTGTTGGAAATGGGCTGGTGAGTCTTAGTGCCATGGCTTATCAGAGGAAGCTACTGTGGCACATTAAAAGGGCTCCTGGACTATAGTGGAATAGTAGAATAAGACAAATGCCTTAGCTCCATGCACTGTACCTTGGTGGGAATGAGTGGAAGGAGAAAAAGGCATCATCTGTTGCCCTGCTAAGACCTTTCAGCGTAATGATATGAAAAACAGAGCCTCATCAAGTTTCCAACTGGTTCTTCCAGGAAGTGCCTTGTGCATCTCATCTCCAGTTTGCCCAGTTGCATAATCCACTACAAAATATAGCCTGGGTCTGTGGATTTTGAAGGACGTGGTAGTTTATCCCTATTTACTTGCTAAGAAAGCATAGAAAAGCCCATTTGTTTTAATCTGCTGAGACAAGTGCTCACAGAACAGCTAAGTAACAGAGAAGGAGAGATATCTAATCTGATCTTCAGGGACAGGGCTTAAACAGATCAAATTGCATACAGATTGCTTGAATCCCAGGATACTTTGTTGATAGTCCTGCTGTAGACAGCAAGTATATTTGTGGTTTCTTTTGTGAATTATGTAATACAATGCCAACATTATAAATTTTCTCTGCTCCAGAGAGGCCCAAGACGCTGTTCTAGGGGCACTAGGCAGAGCTGAGGGATATGGTAATGCAAAGTGAGTATTTCAAGGCTAGGACAGCACAGGGATATCAAAACTGAGGGACTTCAGCCCCTCTGTGGGGAGAACCAAAGCCAGCTAATGATGAGGGGGGTGTAAAAAAGGGAAGGGAATCTGCACGGCTGCATTAGGGTGCTTGGCAGAGCTGCTGGTGTGAGAAATTTTCACCGTTGCTAGTTCTCCACTCTTTTAAGCAGAAAATCCCTTTCTCACATAGAGAGGAGCATGAGATTAGGGAATGCAACTGAGACACTGCTGGAAGACATGACTATCATGGGATTACAAGGAGGGATGGTTTAGCTGTGTGACAAAGATTAGAATCGCATGGTTTCTTTGATGGAGCAGGATGTGGTGTTTGCATGCCACTGCTGAGGGGTGTGGGAGAGATATCCAGGAACAGGAAGATACCACAGATTGCCAGTGAGCAACATGCCAAAGAAGATTATAAAATTATAGATGACCTGAGTAGAGGAATGAAGATAAAACCCCTTCCTTTAGAAAAGTAAGTGCTCATACACGAGCCAAGTGTGAAAAGAAAGAGGAGGGTCAGAACCACGGGGTGCAATAGCACTTTTGAGGATCTGCCTCATGCGGCAGACAGAGACACGCAGAGAGAAGAGGAAAGCAGTGATGTTTCACTGTGTTTTCTCTTTGGGGATTACGATGATGTACAACAAACTCAGGAGATGAAGAAGAACGAAATTGTTATGCCCAATACTCTTTTGAAATGACCCTGAAGGCTCCACTGCTGAAACCTTTTGCTGGCAGCAGACACGTCCCTGACACCCAGCCAACTCCAACCTCCATGTCTTCCCGGCTCAACACTCCCTGTTGCAGTGCAGGGTAGGAAGCATAGGATTCCTGTTACAAGCAGTTGAAGCAATGTCAGTATTTCATCTCACAATATTTGACCTTCTGTTGAGGTTATTTAACACTTTTGCTTGTTCTTTTAGGCCAATTTTTAGCAAAATATTCCATTTTACAAAAAAGAAAAAAAGGTCACAGAGTCTTGCTTTGGAAATGTGGAAAGAAATGCAACCTTCACCTAGAGGACTGCAAGCTGTCAAAATTGGATATCCAGTCAAAGGGATTTATTTAGGTTGCCTTCATGATCAGTGGCAGAGAGACCCTAGACTAACTTAGACTAAACAACTGTTTTTTAAATTACTTAAGAGACACGGAATGAATCCAAAATGCAGCATTTCTATACCCTTTAAATTTCTTCTCATATTTTTAGTGTAAAGCTAATCACTCATTTCAATACATTCAGTTCTAATCTCCCCAAACTCAAACTTAGTGTGAAAAACCTCAAAATCTTGCTGAAGATTAGCTATGAGACTTTTAGGGAAGGATTTAATTTGAGAGTAACGTGCCTATATAGAGAGAGATCTAAACATATACAGGTGCCTCCCTATTCATAAGCTGTCAGTGGACCCCTGAATTAGGAGACCTAATTCAGTTGCCCACACATAGATGTCTAGTGCCATTTGAGATGCCCACTTGTATTTCACCTGGCCTCACCTGCTGCTCCGGGAGGGCATGGGTTTCCTGCTGTACTTGTCTCATCTCTGTCAGCTCTGTGTGGATATCTTCAGTCACTAGGCCATCTAAAATAGCTGTTTATGCATATGTTAAGACAAGAGATTCATGCCTGCAATGACAATAAAAAGCCTGGACAACAGATTTATAACTCCTCAAAATGAGGGATTAATGAGGGAGAAAGGCAGCATTTTCAAAACAGCTACTTCTGCCAGTGTTCATCTGTAAGGATACCTCTCATAATGTTGACACTTCTGCTGTGATGAGTGATAGGAACAAAACTAAATATTGCTGTTTAAAATGGTTTAAATCACAATTTTCTGACTTTATCCTTCATTTTATCAAGGTGTTAAGCATCACTCCTCTGCAGCTATGCTCAGACTAAGATTAAAATCTACTTTTTTCTTTACTTTTTGTGTTTGTTTTTTGGGGGGAGAAATATGAAAATTACGGAAATATGCTGTATTTTGGCTTAGAGCAAAATGGTGGGAAGACCGCTGCCTGTTAAACAGTAAAGGGAACAATAGTAAAAGCAGTAGAGTTGGTAACTTATTTTTCAAATGAAATTTTTTTTTTCCAAAAAATATGGGCTTACTGAAACCAGAGCTTTTCACATAGACATACCACACTGCCAACAGTTTGTCAGGGAAGGCTTCCAGTTCCAAGTGGAATTAGGGACTGAAAAAAAGAGAAGAAGAAACAACTGCCCAAATGAGCTAATAAGAAAGGACATTTGGTAGGTTGATATCCAGCTTCTGGACCATGTGTTGTGATATTTGGAGCAAGGCTTGAAGCTGAATCCTGTATCTCAAGTCAATACACAGTCAACAGGATATCCGCTATTTTGACATCGGTACATTACACTTCTTTAAAAGGTCTTAGCTGTGTTACTCAAGGGAACATAAAAGGAGGATGTTAATGAAGGGCAAGTGAAGGGACAGTGGCAAAGGGAATGCCCTGGGTGAAAATGAATGGGTTGTAAGCATTGGCAAGAAGCAGGGGGGTGTCAGTGGGGGAATCAAGGTTTTCAAGACTACAATCAGTGCAGGCAGCTCAACTCTGTGCCTCATGCCCAAAACAAGGTTTGCTTGATAGAACTTGTTACAGTGCTGGCAATAATTATAACATTCCCTATTCTCTAGGACAAGGCGTATTGGTACAGTGCAAGTGTATAGATTAGTGGTGTACTAGTGTATCTGCTGAAAAGGGCAGAAGCAAGGCTGCATTAGAGAATTTACTAACTTTGTTTCCCAGTTCTCAGCTGTTCAGGTTTCACGTATGACAAACACTTCTTGTCCCTCCCCGTCTCCATCCTTCTCAATAACTGTGTCCTCTAGAAGGCCATAAGACAATGCAGAACTACTTTCATTTGGGAAATGCATTATGTTGCAATATGTCACACTATGAGCTGCTGCAGTTTAGATTGCTATGCTTTGCAATGTGGTGCACAGTACTATATCATACTGAGATGGGTGATACTCCCTTATAAGACATTGTATATGTTATTATATTATACTCACTCTTTGAAGTAAAATTAACAGCAGGTTTAAAAATGACTGGAAACTGATAGCCAGACACATACTCTAACAGAGTGACAACTTGAACCTTAGGTAGCCAGGCTAAAAAAATCCTTGCATTCAGCACCACACATTGCAGCTCTTCTTTGACAGCCTTCCTCTTCTGTGTTTGGATCCATCCCAGATCCTCTAGGTTTCAAAAAACTGTAGACTTTGTGAAAGATGGTGCCACGCTGAATTATCTTTTGCCACACATCTGCAGGACTGCTTCTACCAAATCATATGGGGAGGCCATAGCAAGAAGCAGAGAAGATATAGGCTCCTCATTGAGTAAAGCATGCAGTTCTGGAGGAAAGGTGCCAACAGAGATTTTTTTCATGAGCTGCCTTGTAAAAGTACTTCACCTTTGCTTAACATCATTTCTCAGCTCTTTCACTGCTATCGGCTTGTTTTCCCATTGCAGTGTTGCACAAATACTCCCGTTCCTGCAGCCATCCCACTGCAGCTGTGAAAAACACTCTCTCTCTCTCTTCACAGGCTGAAAATCTTGGATGCTCGGAACAAAACTCTAAGGATAGAGAGGGGATCGTTCTCTTTATATTAAGTAATTCGC